CTCTCTCTCTCTCTCTCTCTCTCGTCGAGAATCAAGCACCCCCGAGATCTTTACGATCCATATGCGCGCTGTTTTCGCCTTGCCCCGGGGCCCTACGCGACGATCCTCATTGCGCCACAATGGGGGGATGGGCCCATTTATGGCCAATTTTGGGTGATGCGGGGCTCGAGATTTGCATCTTGGCGGTTGAAAGAATTGGGGTTTAGGGACCAATGGCGGGCTAGCAGAGATCATTGAGGAGGCGAGGGCAGGCTAGCAGAGATCATTGAGGAGGCGAGGGCAGGCTAGCAGAGATCATTGAGGAAGCGAAGGGCAGGCTAGCAGAGATCATTGAGGAGCCCTTGGCAACTAGCAGAGATCCTTTGATCGTGATTTCGATGTTCTTACCGAATTTTTACCATTTCCACCCCGCCTGGCAACTAAAAGCCGCCCTAAAGCCTGTCATCCCGGATCAAACTCACCCCATTCTCCCCATCTGCCTTTTCAAAAGGCTGAAAGGGTGGCTAGGGGAAAGTGAACGGTGTCCATCTGTCACTCTGCCGCTTCCGGTCGCTTTTTTGAGGGACGTGGGGGCATTGGTGCATGAAGATACAGGCCCTTTAGCCAGGGCGCGGAGACGGTGGAGGCTGGAAAAGTTAGGGGCAGGCTAGCAGGTATTATTGGGGAAACTAAAAAAATAGTTGGGCGGCTGACGGCCAAAAAATGGCTTGTCGGTTCCGTTAAAACACTGCAAAAGTGGGGCAGGCTTGCAGGGATCATTGAGGAATTGGGGGTTAGGTAAAAAACTTAGGCTTTGGCTTGAGCTTAGGCTTAGGATTGGTCTAGGCTTTGCTTAGGCTTGGCTTCCGATTTGGCTTACGCTTCGGGCTTGGTTCAAATTTAGGCTTAGGCTTAGGCTTACTCTAGACCGAATTCACTTCCGAATTCTATTTGCCCAAAACGAGCTCCAGACGTTGAGCAACAGCCCGCGTAACAAAGCTTCTTAGTCGGACAGTGCGGACAATGATACTGCGAATTGGATTGGGATGTTGTAATGGCGTTACCGTAACAGATAGGGGCATTGTTTAGGGGTGAGGGCTGGGCAAATAGATGCTGATTATGGTGACGTAATGGTCTGTTGGGTTGGTATTGGCCCCAGGAGATACAATAAGATTTTAAGGGGTGAGCTAGTAGCTATAGTATGCTATAGGTGTTACAGTAAGTCAAGATCAAGCATTTAGAGAAAGTAGTCTCTCTTACTCTCTCGGTCTCTCTTACTCTCTCGCTCTATCACTCTATCGCTCTATCTCTTTCTCGCGCTCTCTTGCGCTCTCTTTCTCTCTATTTCTCTCTCTCTCTCTCTCTCTCTCCGTCTTTCTCTCTCTCTCTCTATCTATATCTCTCATGCTCTATCTCTCTCTTTCTCATGCTCTATTTCTCTCGGTCTATCTCTCTCTCTCTCTCTCTCTTTCCACTTCTATTCTATTGACATCACCAACTATCATCCGCATTGTCTCCCTTCATCAATGTCAAGTGGCCCCCCTATTCCACACCGCTACTGTGTACCCTTCCGGCGGCCACAAAAAGGCACACTAATGAACCCCGCCGGGGTATACAAACACTGCACACCGGTGACAATACCGTATCTGCCCTGGGTGCCAATTAGGAGAGGGGTCATGCCCCCAGCCGAAAGGCCGCAACATGTCGACAGGTGCCTGGCGGAACGGATGCCCGCTATAGGGGCTCAATACGGCTCAAATCAAGCGAAATGATTTTGGCTTTAAAGGTGCCGGGAAGTCAGTTTTGGATGGAAAATTTATGACAAGAGCCGGGGTCTAACTCCTATTAGCCTAAGCCTAAAGATAAGCCTAAGCTTAAGCCTAAACATAAGGCCTAAGCCTAAGGCCAAAGGGAAGCCCTTAATCCTTAAACCCCACAAGCCTAGACCAACCCTAAGCCCACAGCCTAAGCCATCTCATATTTTCCCTATCGGAAATCTACCGTAATCCGAGAATTCCATAAATTTTTGATGGCTTCCCTACCCCATTAAAAACATCCTGGCTCAGTTTTTTACGTCCATCGTATCGTCGCGTAAGCCGCCATCACGCGCGCAATCATTTTCCTCATTTTCCCGGTCGTCGGGCACCCTTGAAAAATCCGTATAAGCCGCCCAGAGATTAGGCCACCATCCTGGGCACCCTTTTATGCAAATTAGGCCCCTATCGAATCCCCGGGAAATTAATAAAGCCCCCATCTCACACAGACAGCAGCTTCCGAACGTCACCAAGAGCGGCTGGGGACCGAAAGCAAAAAATAGATTTTTTTATCTATAAAAATGTATACAAAATTTTGGCAAGGATGAAGAGCAAAGCTATGCTAATTATAAACTAAAACCGAAAACGAATTTTTCTAGATTTTCTTTTCAGGAAAACGCCGAGATGAAGCGCAACTTCCGGCACCACATCCTGACGATATGCAAGGAGGACAGGAATTGCTCATCGGTAAGGATTTCAAAGGATTTCTGCTAGCTTGCCCTCTATTCCTCAATGATATCTGCTGGCCTGCCCTCGCTTCCTCAATGATCGCTGCTGGCCTTCCATTAATCGCCCTCTCACCTGTCCTCATTGTCCTTCCCCCCGGGATTCATCCCCAGATTGCCCCCAAGAAATCATCGAGAATTCTTTGGGGGATTGACCTTGAGGGGGAATGGAGGCAAATAAGTGGCTGGCCAGCACCCATAGACTGATTCCGCGGGCTATACAATAGACGAATGTCTTTCGCACCCATGAGCACACACCAGCCAAAGTGCCCCGAGGGTGGATTGAGGGTTACCCGGGGTCTTGGGGGTCGAAAGATGCATTTTCTAGAGCCTAAAACCCTAAACATATGCCTAGGTGGCGACCAAAGTCTAAGCCAGGCCTAAGCCTATGTCAAAGCGAAGCCCAAGCCTAAGCCTAAGTTAAATCTAAGTCGACATCTAAATGAAAAGTCAAACCTAAGCCTAATCCGAAGCCAAACCTAAGCCTAAGCCTAAGCCTAAGCCTAAGCCTAAGCTAAACCTAAGGCTGCATCTAAGCCAAGTCTAAGCCAGGCCTAAGCCTAACCCCAAGCCCACGATGCTTCCTCAATGATCTCTGCTAGGTTACACCCCAATTCCAGTGCACTCTTCCCTGCCGTGAAGCCCTCTCCGATACCGGCCGATGTGACCGTAACGCCTGTTTGGTAATTTTTGGCCCGTTTTGAATGCCCTAAAATGAGACGCAATTACCGTAACCCTTCCAGGAGGCTTCCGATCGGCCGAGCTGCGAGAAATCCTGCGAATTCCTGCACCAGATATTCTCCGAAAAACCCGGGGCCTGCCCGGCCGTCAGTGGCATCTCGAATTATGTAAGTTTTTGCGGATTATGGACGTTTAAAGGGACCGGAAGAAGTAGATTTATCGCCAAATCGGCAAAATCTATGTATTACTTTTTGATTCAATATCCAATTTCTTTCTTTTTCAGGAATGCACAGCCGAGTGCCGCCTTGATGGCGACTGCCCGGAGACGTCGAAGTGCTGCGCGTCGGGCTGCTCGAGAAGATGCTTCCAGCCGGCTTCTCCCTCCCCTTCTAGCACCAGCCAATCCGCTTCGACCATCCCCAACTTGCCCTTCCACGTCACCGTCCAGGAGCGAAAGCGGAAAAGGTAGATTTTTGCTTTTTCAGTTGAGTTTTCAAAAAGCAAAAAGTTTCGCACCGACCGGAATTGAACCCGGGTTGTTTTCCTGAAAATAGATAGCACAACCAATTAGCCAAACTAAAACTATTGTTTTGTCAATCAAGATTGGTTGATAAAGGTAGGTTTTCACTTTTAAGTTGAATTCTCAAAAAGCACAAATTTTCGCGCTGGCGGGATCGAACTCGGACCCCTTTCCTAGCATTCTGACGCACAACCAATCGGCCACAACGCTCATTTTTACAGATCGGCCGTGGTACGCTGGGAGGCGAAGCGTGGAAATCAGCAAGATGCTCTCTCCGACCTCTATCTGGTCCAATGGCGATGGGGACTATCTGAAGAGGCCATGACCAATTGGCAGACGGTCGCACTGGTATGCTAATTGTATTAAAATCCTACCTTATATAATTTTGGCGTGTAACTGTGTGTGTGTGTGTGGATGTCACTTTCGAGGCCCGATTTGAGGGCCTTCCCGTGCATAAAATGCCCTAATTCTTCGTCACTTGGGGGAATCGACCCTTCTGTTTCCGATGGCGTGCTCAGAATTTCGATAAAATACAAGTTTACAAAGTTAAAGCCGGTTTTATTCATTTTTGGGGGTAATTTGCATAATGTGAAAAAATACAAATTTCCTCATTCTTGCGAGTTGCACGCGAGCGTGTGGTGGGGGTCCGAAGGACCCGAGCTACCGGAAAGTCAAATTTCTCATGCAAACGCACCATTCCAGCGCCCAAGGCCCGCGAAGCGGGTTTTGGGCGCTGGTTTATAGATTATTTCATTTTGCAGAATCAGAATCAGAATCTGGCTTAAACTGGTTAAATTTTTATATTTATACTAGTTAAATTTTGTAAAATAATTTTTAGAAAAACAAGGACTACGCCATCTTGAAGCACCTGCTGTCCCCCGGGCGGTACTATCAATTCCGAGTTGCGTCGGTGAATCGTCACGGGACCCACGGATTTTCGGTGCCGAGCATACCGTTTAAGCTCAGTAAAGGTAGGTATTAAGCCTAAGCCTCAGCTAAGCCAAAGCCCAGGCTAAGCCCAGTTATAAGCCGAAGCCTATGCCGAAGTCTAATTATAGGCCTAAGCCCAAGCCAAGCCCAAGCTAAGCCAAAGCTAAACTAAGCCTCAACCTAAGCCTAAGCATGACCTAGCCCCAAACTAAGCCTAAGCCCATTTTAGAAGCCAAAGCCCCCGGAGCGCCTCGTGACCTCATCCTCGGCGAATCGACCCTAAAATCCGGGGAATGGTCCCAAATGCTGAATTGGATGCCCCCGGTCTCCGATCTGCCAATCACTGGATATATGGTAAGCTTTCTGCCCTGCTACCTCAATAACCCACTTTTTAAGGTATCCTGGGCCGCCTCCACCGAGGCCGAAGCCGACACCTACGAGCTGATGCTCCGCCAGCGCGAGGCCGACAATCGGCAGCACGAGAAACGAGATGCCGAAGAGGTTTGAGCTCGGGACTTTTAGCGGGGGGACAAATTTCTGCTTTTTTTCCACGTAAACCTGAATTTTCAGTGTTTTTAGTAGTTTTTGATTGATAAAAAGTCTAAAAAAATATTTTTTAAATTTTAAAAATTCAAAAATTTGACCTTTTTGATTATTTTCATACATTTTGCCCAAAAATTAAAAAATTTTCTTATTGTTTTTATATTGTTCTTATATCTAAAAACTATCTAAAATTCCATAAAAATAGTTTAGATTTGGTTTTTAGAGAACCACAAGCAAAATTTCGTTACCACCACCCCCGCTAACAGCCCAGATCCTCTCGAAACCCCGATTTTAGGAGGAACTAACCCTGGTGGAACGTGACCGGACAACCGTACTTGTGCCGGCGCACGCGACGCAGACGCGCCTCGAGCGACTGCTGCCGAACGCCGTCTACCTGGTTGAGGTTCAGGCGACCGCCGACTCGGCCGAGGGCCAATTGAGCGGCGAAAAAGCGCTAGTGTTTGTGAGGACGAGGGGGAACCATCCGGAAGACAGAATCGAGCGGCTTATCCCCCTAGATGTCCCGACTGGGTCCCCGAAACGGGAGGATACGGTCGAAGGGATGGTTGTCGAGGTGAGTCCTGGCACCTGAAATTTCAACGAAAAATTAATAAAGTTCACTTTAAAAAATTATTGTAAATAATTTCAAAACATCGGAAATAATGATGAAATTACCGTGATTCTAAATTTTTTTTACTATTCCCAAACGCAGAAACGTACCGCAAATTGGTGTATCGATCAAAAATGACCGATTTTGACGAAAATTCAAAAGCTTCCAGGTTGCTTCAGATCGATTTTCCATTCTAAATCGGTCCAAATTTGCTTTACACTATTCCAAAACGTAGAAAATCTGCAAAATTCCGTTGACAAATTCCATTTACGACAATAATGCACAATTTTTGGATAGTTTTTCCACTTTAACTCGACTTCATTTCTTTTTGCCGGATTCCAATACGTGCAAAATCTACAATTTTTTATTAAGCAACACAAAAATAACGATTTTCCACGAAAAATGGTCGATTTGCGCTCAAATTTTGACTTTTTAAAGATTTTTCTACGTTTTTAGTTAGTTTCTATTTGAAAAATAGCTAAATTTTACTAAAAAGGCTATTAAAACACTTGCTATTACATTACTTGGGATTTCTCGCCTCGTAGGGAAATCCCTCCCCCGTTAATGCCAAAGAAAAGCTGAAAAAATTATTCGATTTTAGACGCCGCACTTCACCGACTCGCTGACCACCTCCATCAACTGGGTCAACTCGCGAATTTGCGGCCCTCAGAAACGGCGCTTCCTCGTCAAGTACACCGTGCAAAGGTGCGTAGCGTACCCTGAAAATTCCTGTAAACTTAATAACTCAAATTACAGCATTCTAAAACGAAAAACTAGTCAAATAACAATACTAAACCCGTCATTTCCAGATGCGCCCAATCCGGCCGCGAGCTGAACGTCTGGCGCGAAGAGTGGGCAAACGAATGCCATCTCCAGTTGCGGCAGCTCGATTTCCAGTGCAGCTACTTGGCCCAGGTGTACGAGCCGGGCGCGCAGAAGGTAGAAAAGGTTTCTGAAAAGCTGAATTCAAGAACTTCAGCCGAGCGTCGCCGGCACGTTCGAGACGAGAAGCTGCGAGGAGACCCCGACCAGCGGGAAACCGCCCTGCGATTTCGTGAAGCCGAGTTTGCGATGCGATTGGGACTTTTCGTCGATCGACTGCACGTGGGAGAGGCTGGAAAGTGATCGGCGAGACACCGTCATCGGCTACAGGTTCGTTAAGTGCTTGTTTTTCCACCTATGCCTACAATTTATGTTAATAGTATATAACGTATTTTCTAGCGTTTTAGCCTTTTTTATTGTCAAAAGTTTATAAAAAAACGTAGAATTTATGAAAAATTGCAACTTTTGGCCGTTTTGGTCATTTTTCACGTTTTTGACTTAAAAACCGAAAATTAAAAATTTTCGAACATTTTTATGATTTTTATGAGCTTTTTAAATCTAAAAACTAAAACTTACTTCCCTTACAGAGTGGTACTCACATCCCCCGGGCAGGGCAGCGAGAACATCACCATCCTGCCGCCACAGAGCCGCAACACCCGCTTCGACGCGCTGGCGCCGTGGAGGGAGTACGCCGTCGAGGTGCAGCCCATCACCAACAGGTTCGGCTTTGTTGAATAAAACCTCCTAAAAATCTAACTAATAAATAAAACAATCTAAAAATATCATGTTATTATAGGGGTGTCGGCGTGGCCGTATCTTCGATCATCGCTCCCACCGACCTCTCTGCCGACACGTCAGAAGCTGTTGAGGAGCGAGCGCTAAACGATCTCGAGTTCATCGAGCTACCGCTAGAATCGGCGGCCCCAACCTCCCTCAGAATACTATTGCCACTCCTTGCCGTGTTCTTGCTGCGATAGCCAGAGCTTCGCAACCCAGCTTTCCCCAAATACTCCGGGTGCTCTAGTCGATTCAAGGGAGCTCCTCCTCCTCCCAATCCATTCTCATTACGGGTCGTTTGTAATTTTGCAGTATAGTGTGGTTGCACAGAAAATAAATATTATACATAGTAAGGGTTGAAAGGCACCGGAAACCACACGAAATATATGGATAAAACTTTATCAAATTCAACATTGTGAAAAAGTGAAGAGGGGAACCGGATTGGTGTAGGCACAGAGTGGATGCAAAAGGCCACAACAACGTCACACAAAAAACGAGGAGCTGAAAAACAACAAAATCAACAATTCAGGCACATGGATTGAGAATTCAAAATCAACAACTGGAAACGAGGCAAAAACCTAGGCTTGAATTTTGGCCATAACATCGTCGAGCGCCATCTTCAGCTCGTTTTGAGCGCCGAATTGGTCCTGGTAGGCCATTTGGATCTTCTTGAGGTGGGGCAGCAGCGTCAAATTGTTGCGCGACTTTGCCTGGAAAGAAAAGGCAAATGTTGTGGGGATCGTAGAATACAAAACACTAAATAAAAACCTTCTAGAAAACTAAATATAGAAATTCGTAACAAGATTGTCGAAATTTTGAAAAAAAACGTATTTTTTTCTCAAAACTGAAGTTATCAGAGTTTCTAAAAATTCTTTTAACGTTTTTGCGAATAAGAAGTACTAAAAATACTATAGCAAGCTTAAAATTTAAACAGTCCAGAAGCCTCTGTAAATCTGTAAAAAACCGAATTCTCACCCTCTTGATGTCTTCCTCCTTTTGGCTGATCCCGGCTTGCTCCAACCGTGTGTCGATCAGCAGATTGGCCGTCTTGAGCACGCGCAGCGCCACCTCCACCTTCGTCAAATAGTCCTGAAATAAAAAAAAGGAATTAGATGAGGTTCAAAATTAAATGGCATTACAAATTCCACCCCTAAAATTTCTTACATTTTTCATCGTATCGGCCTGGAGGGCCTGCTCGACCAGGCGCACATAGCGCCCATCCTGATCGACGCTACCCGGCGACGGCTTTTTGAGGGAGGCGTAGAGGAGGTAACCCTGAACAGTCTGTTTCTAAAATTGCAACAGCAAAAACCTGTGCGCCGAGTGACTTGGAAGCGATGATGCGTGCGAAAAGCTTGCAGAGCTCGTCCAGGCACGGGTCGTTGGGTTCCTAAAAAGCCAGATGCAATCAGGACAAGCCGCTTCCCACCTTTTCGATTAGGTCCAGCGCCTCATTCGTCAGCTTGATCAAATAATCGTCATCGGTGGGGGCTCGCTTCAGGTCAAGAAGCCTAAAAAACTAAAGTAACTGACAAAAGCAAAAGCTACCTATGGTATGCTTGTATCGCCTTCGACACTTCGCCCACGGACAGCGCCAGGAGCAGGCAATTTCCCCAAATGTTGTGGTCTTCGATGCTGAACTTGATAGCTTCCTAAAAAGACTTCCGGTCAGGCTAAACTAACAGCGCTACCTGAAGCACGTCGAAAGCCCGCTTTTTCTGGTTGAGACGAAGGTAGGCGGCGGATAGGTTGTTCCAGGCTTCGAAGTGTTCAGGCTCGAGGTCGACACAACTAAAAATCGTTGATAAGACGGTCAGATTGTCCGAAAATCGATCCATATCAGGTTCTTTCGCACTATCGGGGGGCGGGGGGCAAAGCTAAAAAGACCGTTTTTACCAAAATTTCTACTTATGAATAGTCGTCGAAAGTTTTTAGATAGTTTTTCTGGTTGAAATATAGTTTTATTTTACTAAAAACCAGATTGAAAAGTTCCTATTAAGTTACTAGGCACTTACAAACTTATACAAAAAATTTCAGCCCCTCCCCCCGACAACGCGAAAGCACCGAGTATCAAAACAAACCGGCGGAAGCAGACGGTTGCCTGCTCGAATTGCTCGTTGGTCCACGCACAGTACCCCGCGTTGAACCACACACCAAGCTGAATAAATCGTTGTATTTGTAACAGACAATTTGCACCTGAATCGGGCGCAGCTCCAAACTGCGTCGGAAATTCTCATAGGCCTCTGGGTACTTCTTGCGAGACAAAAATAGATTTCCCAACGAGCGGCGTGTCCGAGCGTTTTTGTCATTGCTGATCTAAACAAAAAATCTTCAAAAAACACCTTCACGAACCTCAATGGCCTTTTCGAAATACGACAGCTCCTGGTTGATCTCGCCGAGCATCGTGTAGAGGAGATGGAGGGGGAACGCTGTCGTCCTTCTGATCGATAAGGCTGAACGATAAAGTAATTAAGAATATTAGAAATTGACCTACTCTCTTATTAACCGGTCGGCTTTCTCAATTTGGCCCATCGACTTGTAGCAGTCAATGACGCCGTCCCAGTTCTTTAGTTTTTTCGTAGCAGCGGAGGGCCTCCTGAAATGAAAAATAATTCTAAAAAAGCTATAACGTACCGAGTACAATCCGATCGAGCAGAGCACACGCGCATACTGGATTCGCACTTTCCACCATGGGGGAAGGCCACAGGCGACCGCAAATTTGCACCTTGGCACTCCGTGTTCAGCATACTAAAAATAACATATTGACCTTTATTTACAAATTAGCTAAAAAAATATGTTAGAAACCCACACTCGCCGTCCCATCCAGACCCAGCAATAACGATTCAAGCTGTTGACAAGCCCTTTCCACCTAGAAAATTTTCCATCTAACAACATGGCACCATACTTTTCGGCCCTTGCCCTTCTCCAAGTCGCTGCGCATGATCAGCGACTGGCAATGCCCCGCCCAGCAGCGCTTTTGGGAGAGGATCTAAAAGAACGATAATGAAAAAGCCTAAATCGCTTACCATAGAGATTGTCGCCATGCATTCTTCGGTGACAATGTCGCTTTTCGGCTGTGTTTTCCGCTTGTACGTGGTAAGGGCGACGAGGCAGGCCACTTGCATCGAAGTGAGCAAGACCGGCTCCCTTGGCCGGGCCTTCCAGGGTGATGGTGTCCATAAGCGTGTCGTCATTCAACTGCACATTTTCCGGCATTTGTTCCTCGGCCTCGTCGACCTCGCCGCTAGCTTGCTAGAACCAAAAAGTGAACGAAAAACCACTCGAAACCCCACCACCGACAACACCAACTGGGCCACCAGGTGTTGCTGCCATTTTGTGCGCTTGCCGAGCTCGCCGGTCAGCGTCGCGTCAAGCTTTGCCAGTTTGAACGCCTGAATCAAGAAAATACCTGGAAAAAACTAAACGCGCACCTCGTCAATGTGCCGATGCGCTTCATCGTAACCGTAGAACAACAGGCACGCCTGGGCAATGACCAGCTCGCGCTCCACGCTGAGCACGAGGCTTTCCTAGAAAGATATTAACAACAAGCCCAAAAATCCCACTTCGCATGGTTCTTGCACTTCTTTGATCAATTCTTTGATACGCCGATGGATCGTTGATGAAGACTCGTCGAGCAGGTGCTGCCAGGCCATCAGAATCTAAAAAACATCCTCCAAAAAAAGAAACAAAATTTCTCACCTTGAGCTGCAAGACCTGGCCTCCATTTTGCCCTTCGATGGCCTTGATCGCGGCAAGGAGAAGCAAAAGGGACCTAAACGCTTTGAAAAATAGGTCTTTCAATTCCAACCTTGTCCCCTTGTAAGGCAACATCCCCTCACAAGACAAGGCTTCGACAACTTGGGGGCGTAGGCCTTCTTCGACGTCTTTCTCAAGCAGGGCGGCTTCTGAAAAGCTATTTTTTTTCCGTGACATAACCCCCCTGACTTGTTCTCCAAAAGGGCAACGACAAACCTTCAATCCCGCACCAATTGCTCGCGAAGAAGTGGTCGTAGGCGACGGAAGCAACAACGAGGCGTTCAGCATCGCTAAGTTCGGTCCGGATGCGCTTCTCGACTTCGGGCACCGTCGTGCAGCCCTCGAATCTTGCCCGTAGGGCGTCGATGTCGTGGTTCATCGGCTGAAAGGAGGGATTTGGGTTGTAAAAGTTGAAAATTTCAATGAAGAGAACATTCACGAGAGCAATTACGACATGCAACACGGCTCTCTTTGGCAGTGGCGCCGCGCTGAGAGAATTCGAAATGGTAGAGAAAAGAGAAAGGCGAACGGCAGGCAAAGCACCAGTATTATAGTAGCTTTTATATTATTATCCAACCTTTCCTAATTAAATTAAACTAATTTTAACTATCTTAATAATAACTATTTTTTAAAATTAATTAACTTTTGAAACATTCAATCCTAAAAATCCGGCCGTGTACGTAGTTACGGGATTCCGTAATTTCGTAGCAAATGGAATTTATCATTTTCTCGCGTAATGAATCATTTTTATTTTTTTGTTAGAAAGATTAAAATTACCGGGGGGGGAAAACGCAAATTTTAAATTAAAAAGGAAAGAAAAAATTTTCTTTTTTTGGGGGAAAAAAAAAAAAAGGGGGGGGTTTAAAAAAAAAAAAAAAAATAAAAAAAAAGGAGGGGAAAAAAAAAAATAAGAGGGGGGGTTCGGGGGGGGCGCCAAAAGGGTAAAGATCTTTGGGGTTGATGGGGGAAAGGGAAAAAGAAAAAAAAAAAAAAAAAAAAAGGAAGATTCGCGAATTTAGTTATTTGTTGTTTTGTTCTCGGAAACATTGATCCTCGATACTATCCTGGACGCACCTACGGTATTTTTTTTTGAGGTTTTATAAAACTAAAAAATCGCCACTTTTGCCACGCATCGATATCCCGCCAAAAACACTTTATTTAACTGGCAAGCAGGTGAAATTCGAAACAACTCTACATAAATAGAGCAAAAAAAACTAGACGAAGAAAATACAATCGTGCGAGCAATAGGTGAGGGACTAGCAAAAAAAAATGTAGATCAGAGCAGTCGAGAGCCGTGGGCATTGGGTCGAGCAGGAGGTGGAAGCAGTGGGTCGAGGGGTTGTTTGTTGTTTGCGAGTAGATTCAGCAGCGATTAGCGGCGTGTGACGCGGATGTGGAGGGCGATGACAGCAATCAGACGGAGCACCAGCGTGATACCAAGGAGGAAGCCGATGTCGATCCTGAAATGGGAGCTTGTGTAAAAGATTACGGCGACTTTTGCCATCGATCACTTACCAGAAGACATCTGGGCGCATTTTCATGCTGACCATCAGATTCGGACCGTGGCCAACAGCATCGATTGCCGCTTTCTGAAGCCAATTTTTATTCAAAAGGTTTTTTTGGGCACCAACCCGCACTTCCGGGTCGAGATGGATCTGGTGGCAGTACTTGTCGGTGGCATTCGTACAGCCTAATCCAAAAATTCCAATTTTTCCTCTTTGTTTCCCCCACCTTCAATGTGGGTGATGTCGCTGAAAAAGTTGTTCATGTGCGCCTCAAAGGCATAGCGATAGTACGAGATGTACTCGATCCACCGGAAGTAGAGGGGCACCTGAAAATCTGTTTTTTTAACGTTTTCCCTTTCGTTGCTACCGTCCAGAGGTTGATGAAAAGACCGCCGAGGACGAGCAGCGGGACGACGACAAGGGGGACGAGCTGCGTTGCAATTTCCAGGTTGCCGCAAATGCAAGCAGCAGCGTAGCCTGTAATTCGGCGGAAATGGCCGATTTTTATGGGCTATTTTAAAAAAGTCAATAACATTGTTCAGGGGCAGTTCTGGTGCTTTTGCATGAACCTTTAGAAACCCTAGGACCATGATTTTTAGAATTTTCCATCATTAAACGCACCAACAGACGTAGAGGTCGTCGCCATGCACGTATTCACCAGTACGTACTTGCCAAATTTCTTCCAGGACGTGTACTCGCCAGCCTGGGCGAGCGTGGAGATGACCTTTAGGAACCGGGCTCCCTACAGCATCCAAGTCCGAGAGTCGAAACGTCATGAAGAAGATGATGACGCTGTAGATGAAGGGGAACACCAGGTACTGCACCGTCTAGAGTTATTTTTCGTACTGGAACTCGGGACGCGGCCACTCACGTCTGCCAGATTTTTGCCGATGAAATAGGCCGCGGGTAGATACATATTGCTCTTGTATTCGCGAATGATCACCGGGAGGTCGGAGGTGAACACCTGAATGTCGCGTTTTAGCGCAGTTTGAGCACCAACCATGATACACGGGAAGACGAACATGAAGTTCATGTCGCGCACGTTGTTGAACATCACGCCGACGTAGTTTTGGATGGTGTTGTACCTCAGCGGTGTTTGCAGGTAGACGGCCCCGATGGTGATCGCGCAAATCTTTTACGCCGTATTTTTCGGATGTTTAAAAATTGGTGCTTTTGGAATATCGGTTGGGCGGGGGGGGGCGACGTTACTAGACGCAGACACGTCTAGTAACGGAATAAAACACATTTTCATGGTCTTTTTAGAGTAAAATTGAAATATAAAAGCAACGAAAAAATGTGAGAATTTTTTTAATGAAATTTTGGATGAAAAACGACGATTTTTCTCACATTTTTATGAAGTTTCTATGCCTAGGAATAGTCGAAACTGGTTGAGAAACCCTCCTCTATTTATATGAGAAAAATGAATATTAGAACCCCCCGATAATGCATAAGAACCTGCAAATCGTACCATCACTTGGAAGAGGCGCACGTTCAAAATCATTGGATTTCGGATGACGCATCGGAGGGCTCGGTAGAATAATATCCAGACTTGCCAGCGGAACGAGGTCTTGTACCTAAAAAATCCTCGGTTTTTGTCTCTAGATGTGCAGCGGACTGGTTCAAGGCGGAATAGTCCTCGCGCATCCGACGCCGCTCCGTGTTCGACACCTCGAACGAGTTGTGCGTGAAGTTACCGACCGTCTCGCCGTACGAGGAGGTGACGTACTTTTGGGTGATCGCCTGGAAAGCGGAGAAAAATGTACAATTTTTCAGATAAGAAAACCTCAATGCGACTCCCGTGCTGGTCTTCGGTTTCGCCCTCGCTGCGCGACAGCACGCGCATGAAGTGATCGGCCGGGTTGACGAACTTGTTCACCATCGGAAAGCCGGCGCTAAAAAAAGGCTGTTCAGGGCTTGAAAACGTCAGTCACCTGCTAAAAAACTCGATGACCTCATCAGCCGGGCCGTGGTAGGCCGTCTTTCCGTTCGCCATCAGAATCAGGCTAAAAAAGGGGGATTTAGAAAATCCTTCTAGCGATGAACCTGTCGGCCAGCTCGAAGACCTGGCTGCTCGGCTGGTGGATGGTTGAGATGACGGTCATCCCATCGAGCGCCAGCTTCTTCATCACCGCCACCACCTAAAACTTTGACTGAAAAGCTTGTAGCGCTACGGCACCTGTTTGGCCATGAATGCATCGAGCCCCGAGGTCGGCTCATCACAAAAGAGGATCGGTGGGTTGGTGAGGATCTAAAAAAGCTTAGAAAACCATTACCTTTTTACCTCGCAAGCAAATGCCAGCCGCTTCTTTTCACCCCGCGAGATGCTTTTGTGGAAGCGCGAGCCGATTCGCGTGTACTGGCAGCTGGTCAAGCCCATCTGACTGATGACCTTCTCGACGCGCTGCAGCTTTTCCTTGTGCGAGTACTTCTGCCCCATCCGGAGATTGGCCTGAAAAATTCAATTGTTTGTAAAAATTTTAAAACTTGCAAACATTTATAAGCAGAATTTTGGTCGGAAGTGATAGTTTCTCCATTTTTAATGAAAAATAGCACCATTTTTATGGTGAGAATCGCAGAAAACAATTTAGGAACACGCTCACTGCAAAAACGATCGTCTCGCGAACGGTCAAATCGCCGATGAAGCAATCTTCTTGCTGGACGTAGGCCGATATCTTGCGCATGCTGGCCGCATCAATGAGCTGTTTATTGACCAGCACCCAAAAAAAAATTTACGTTACGTTTTAAATTTCAAACCTCGCCGAAAACCCGCATGCCTTTCAGGTTGCGCTGCGTGAGCACGTTGAGCAGCGTCGTCTTGCCGGCTCCAGAAGCGCCCATGATGAAGGTAAGTTGGCCAGGTGTGGCGACCCCGGACACTAAAAATTACCATTTATGAAAAAAAAAAGGAAAGCTAACCTTGATCTAAAACGACGCGGTATTCGAAGGGCTTGCGGCGGCGGATGAATGACCAAATCCGCGAGCGCGTCTGGATCGGCACCTCGACATAGATGTCTTTCCACACGACCAGCTTCCCCAGCTGCAAGGATTCGAGGTCGGCCTGTTAGCGGGAGGATAGCTTCGTTGATTCAGCCTAGCCTCCCTTCTAATCAAGCATACCTATCTCTATAATGTCGTTAAAACTTTCCGATTAGCTAAAATTTATAAAAACCAACTGAAAAATTGAAAAGCTTTGATATATGATCAATTTTAAAACATCTATAACACAAAAGCCAAGTCGTAAAGGACTTTAAAAAATTTTTTACGCGCTTTCGATACCTAAAAGAGGCGAAAAATGTTAATAAAACAGTGCTATTTTTGGTTTCCTACTACCAGACCCCCACCCCCGCTAAAGAACCAGGACCGAATTCGATATTTCTCCAAACTCTGCCATACCGAGAGTGGATCGGCCGGGTTGGTGCGCAGCTGGGAGTAAGAGAAGCTGCGACTGGGTTTCTGGTCGGTGCTCTTCTTCGACTGTGTCTCATTGGTGGTGGCAGAGGAGGGAGGAGCCGAGTGGGAGCTCGACTTGGTCTTTTCTAAAAGCAAGTCTTAAGAAAAATCAAATTCGTTCCTACTTCTATCAGTCTCGGTGGTGTCATGCGGTGCCGGTATCGGCGCCTCCTTGTCCGAGGCCTCTGCAAAAGTCCACTGTGCTCAGCAAAAAGCGTCTCAACAAACCAATCAAGGGACCGGAACTCGATCCAAAAAATGTCAGCCAGCTTGACGGGTAGTGTTGGGAGACACTGGCAGATGATTTTCCGCCCTTCTGAAGCTGATCATATGTAAATTTTTGGGTATTGAAAATTATAGCCTCACTTTAAGCTTCTGGTAAAGCTTCCGGCTGCTCCCCAGCCTGCCGGCGCACTTTTTGATTTAGTTTTTTTTTTGGTTTTCTGCCCTGACTGTGAGGGTATTTGTTCAGTCTAAAAAGTTTGAGACCGTGGCCCTTTTTTCCATTCCCAGTAAAAAATTCATCAGAATATCGGTACGCGAGCCTCCGATGCGCGCTCAACTGTCCACGGACGGTGTAATTCGTTTTTTTTTAGCTATCAAACATTGTCTCGTTTTCTTAGAAAAATTAAAAAGAAAATCGATCGTAAATGTTCTACGTAAAATTGCGCATATTTTTTTCTGTTACTTTTTTGTGATTAGGCGTTGAAATTTTCCCCCTCAGTTTACGCATTTCTTGCTAACTTCGCAGGGCTCTATTTTTAGTCAAATCCAAGCCCATTCTTTGTAAAATCAAGGTCGATTTCCCGCCAATAGCCGGAAACTAGCGTTGAAAATGAATGGAAACGTCTGTTTTACTCAAAATACACCCCGATTGCCAAATTGCCATTATTTATCGGTTTCTGTTCTCGGAATTTTTAGCGATTTTTGGGGTTTTTTGGCTGAAACTCGTTCGTTCCGTGGCTGAGACTTTGCTTTGTTGGCTGCATGGCACTCTCCTCACAGTAGCTTGCCTCGCCCGAAGGGTTCTCGGCACCCAAATTCCTTGCGTGTATCCCCCCCCCCCCCGCCTTCAGTCTATACTTTATTTCAGGATGCCGGGAAGCTTCTTCCTCAAGAAGGGGTGCGGCAGCCACAAGCCAAGATGCAGCTCCAAGACGCCACATGAAAAAGAGAGGCAATAGGCGCGACAAGGCCGAGTTCACGGGCCCGAATGCCGAGCCGGTACGAGAGAGAAAGCGGCCAGCTGAAGCAGCACTTATCACTCCTGAGCCAGTCATCGAGCAGAAGCGCATCAAGAAACAACGGATCGCACACTTCAAAGATGAAGCCGCAAGTGAGGCCCCTGTTCCGCTGAAGCCTCACAAAAAGGTCTACGATCGATTCCGGGAGCTCGATGAGCAGGCAGAAAGAGAAATCGAGGAAGAGCGACGTGAGTATGATGGCTACAAACCTCGCAAGCGTGAATATGAGCAAGCAATGGATGAGTATGAGCGAATTCAAGCCGATCGTGCCGAGGAGAGGCTGCAAAAACAACAGGAAAGAGCCCAGAGACGCGAGGCTTTGGAAAAGTACAATACGTCGAAACGAAAAATGAACAAAGCGTTGAAGATGAAAAACAAGAAGGGCCAGCCGAATTTGAACGCGCAGGTTTCGGTGTTGTTAGAAAGGATACAGAAGAAGATGAAAGAGTGAAGCAAGGATGTGTTATGATCTTTTGAATTTACGATGATTTCATGCAGTTTTTGTTGTTTTTGTTGTTTTCTTCTATTGTTGCCATGGTGGAGACTGTTCTTTACATAAAATTTCAGGCGGGATGTCCACCAAACGATCCCACACGGCGTCAATCTTCGATTTGACATCACGAGAGTTCGACGTCGATGCGTACATCAGCTACCAGCTCAAAGACAAGACCTTGAGCGAATTGATGCGTTCCGAAGAGGAGATGATCACTGCGGTAAATTTTTGGCTAGCGCCCTAGAATCTTTTTTAGATACGCCGTCTGGATTCTGACGTCCATCAAATCGTCTACGAAAACTACAACAAATTCCTCACAGCCACGAGCACGGTTCGAAAAATTCAGGACGAATTTAGCGGCCTGGATACGGTTAGTTCTTGCTAGATTTCAAAGTAATCCAGTAATTCTACAGGGAATGGAGGAAATCAATTCTTCGATGGGAAAAATTCAAGGCTTATTGTACGACCTTGGCGGCACGATTGGTGGGGACAAGTCTGACGTCACGCAGCTGTCACGTTCCTATAAGGCGGTCAAGAGCGTGCAGTTCATCTACGACCTCCCTGCCACGCTACAAGTGGGAACCCTTCAGGGCTTTCTATTTTTCTTTAGAACTATTTCGACGAAGGCAAATTTGCGGACCTTGTTCGCATTTTTCTGCTAGCGAAAAAGTCTCTGGCACCGTTTTCTGACATGGAGCACATCGCGAAAGTTCTGGGACAATGTGACAATATAGCAACAAAAGCCGAAGCAGAGGTATTATCGGTTTGCTTTTTTATATATTTTTTAAGTTACGTGAACGAATCTCGACTGGCCAGTTTGACAATACGGAGCAATTGGCGAAAAACGTGGAATTGCTCGTCAGCCTCGGCGTTCCAAAAGATGATTTGCAAGTAAGGGATCAAAAAATTTGCAAAGAATCTGGTGTAGAGTACGTTATTGGCGGCCTCGGAGAAGAGTTTGCGCGACGACTTGGCAGGGTTGGAAGCGCAAGTCGAAGATCTACTGGATCTTGTGGATCGAGGTTTGCCGATCGTTTTTCTTGAAATTATGGTTTTAGGCTGTGGCACATTTTTGCCGAACTTGACTCTCTTTGTCAATCTGCACGAGAACCTCTTCCCGGCGAAGCACGGCGTTTTGCTGCAGGTGGTCCGCCGACTGATGGCAGATTTCCACGAGATTGTCAAAAAGTAAGGGCTTCTTCTGTTCAGAAAATGGCGTCTAGGCTTTTCCTCACTTCAACGGACCCTAAAGATTGTTCAATCGTCGTCCGCGCCCTCGATCGTTACTATCGAAAGATGAATGCTTGTTCGCAAGTGTTGCCTGGTAACTTAACCGAAATCTAGCATTCATCCCTTTTCGTCTAGGCCTCGATTTTGGTGATGATTGCGTCGCGCTAATCAATGAGGTATTTTTCCGTTGTTTTTCTTTATTATACATTTTTAGGTTTCGCTTCATCAAATGAAAATTTCGCGCGCTAAAATCGTCGAGCAGCTCGAGTTAACGTTGAAGGAGGTATTGGGGAGCGCCGAACTCTAAATCGTAACTTGTTCAGATGCGCGAAAGTACGCTGTCAAATGACGTCGATTGGAACGGGATGAGTGCACGGCTGGAGCAAGTTTTCGTGTTCAACGTCAAGACATCGCTTGCCAATTTGTTGTTGTTTACGGCTAGCGATGTGACATTTTCTGGTGAGTATCATCTATTCTGGACCAACGTTTTGCAGCCATTCCACCGGCCCTCTTCCACAGCAAATTGGCCGTGGCGGTGCACGAGGAGCTGTTGGTTGGCGCGATGAACGATGTGGCCGACGCGATGGCCACTTATTCCAGTAAGTTTCTGACTTTTTGTGATTTTTGGGTGGTTTTTGTGTGTTAATGGCGCTTTTCGCAACTTGATCTCATTCTATAGAGCTAAAAATTTCATCGCTCTGGATACGCGTTTTTAAGCTCTTTCGAATGGGCTATTTCACATCATAAAGCAAGACTTTGACCTAAAAACGAATCCCTTTTAGGCGTTGGCGACGAGATGCGCTTTGTATCCCCGATGCTACTGCTGACGATCGCCATGTTCCTGCACCACATTGCTGGCAAGAGCGCCCAGTATCTGATGCGACTCTGCGAGGAACAGTTTCTGCTCGTGGAGAAGAAGGTAGGGATTTTGGTACTGGACGGTTAGTGATAGTCAGTAATCTGGAAGTTTTGATTGCAAAAAAGCTCCAAAACAATTGATAAATTTTTTTAATGACGAAAAATTGCTCAGGAATCAAAAATTGTAGATTTTAATGATGTTTTATTTAACTTTCTTCGGCTTCGATCTTCTTCGGCATTTTTTTTGCAACAGCCGACTGGGGGTATGCTTATCAAGCCGCATCTTATCAATGTGTTTTGCTTAGCCAAAAGCGCTTTCTGGGCTGGCTACCTAGGAGGACAGCGTGTTGTTAGGACCGCCGCTTCTCATTCTTAAAAAATACTTTTAAATAGCTTGGTTTAGCGCAAAGATCTGACGCACACGGACACCGTCGTTGCCGCTCTACGAGATGCTGCCCAAGGTGTCATCAAGCGATTCGTTGACGCCAAGGTGAGACGATTCTGTAAACATCCCGAATCTCCCCCTAGGGCTTATCCATCGGTGAAGGTGTCGCGAAGGCCGTAGAAAACAACACTACAAACGTTGCGCCGCCTGTTGGCGTCCGCAGCGCCATCAGAAGAGCCGTCGATGAGGTATACTTTTAAAAAAAACCCCGGATTAATTTTTTAGGTTCGAGATTTTGACCAGCTACTCGCCTCCATTCTGAACGACGGCCGGAAGGAGGTCAAGGCTTCCCGGACACCAAGGTTTTGGAGAATATTTTTGTTTTTACATAAAAACTTACAGGCAAACGGACCCCTTCCAGCGCGACACGCTGTGGAGCGAACGTGTGGATTTTCATGAACAAATCGCGGTACGTTCAAGATTTCATCGTTTTGTTAAAAGTTTTTTGGTTCTTTTGCACAATCGGGAGGTCTAATTTTGCCTATTTGTCCAGCTAGTCTTAATAACGTAAAGCCTGATTTTTGAATGCGTTGTTAGTAAAATTTTACCTATTTTAAAAGTTAGACACCTATCCAAACACATCGGGAAAAATTTTATTTGAAATTTCCGTCACAAATCGTTCATGTTGGGTCGAAAGCCCAATTTCGTATTTTTTTTTAATTGGCCTTTATACGCTTTTACTTATATCGCTAGTCTTTACGTTTAGGAACAATCAAGGCAGAAGATTTCTGTATTAAAAAATCATTCTTTTCAGTTCACGCGTGGCTCAATCATTGCCGGGATGGTCAAGGTGTTCCTGAAGGTCTTCATCGAAGCCATCCGCACGCAGACATTCGGTAAACATGCCGTGGAGCAGATCCAGGTTCGCCCTTTGGCATTTTCAGGAGCGATGCTTAGGTTGACTGCTACTATCTGCAACGAAACCTGGCACCACTGGTCTCTGATGAGGTATCGCTTTTTGCACCTTTTTTGTAGACTTTCCTAGGTTGTTGTGAATTCGCTGAGCGATACGGCCCTGTCGTCGGCGTTGAAGCGAGCCCTCGACCCTGCTATTGCTACACCCAAACAAACTAATGCAATTATTTGAACAAAATAACCCCGCAAGCTGAATGTAATATTTGCTGTGTATTAGCTATGTGTGTGTTTTTCTTTCACCAATCGTCTTTCTCGGAAATGCTGTTGTTTTTAGTACACTTCCATTCCTTCGCATATCTTTTTACGGGTACTTGATGATAATAAATCTACGTCGTTTTCTTCTACTTTTTTCTTGAAAAAACGGGTTGCTGAGACCAAGATGCTTGTCAGCGCAGCCTGCCCACCTCACGATATCGATTTCAGATGGAATTGAATATATGGCCCGGGGATTTTGGCCTGCCATCGGTTGACGTGTCTTGCTTACAATTTTTGGTGGGTACATCTTTTAGCTTTCCATTATCCTTTTAGGCTTGCAGTAAATTTTGCGCTAGCTCCGGTGTCGTGTGGAGCTTCTACGGCTCCTTGGAACTCGCCGACAGGTGTGTTTTATGAAATAAGATTCTCTATATACATCGTTTTACAGGAGAATATCCTATGTGCGTCGACAGAAATGAAAAACCCATCTGCGACTTTGACAAGTAACTTTATGTGCCTGATTTTAGCTTTTTTAGGTTTGTTGATGGCCTACGACGGAATGGTCAGGTCGTAGTTATCGACGGCGAGCTAACGGCAAAGGAAAAAGCCCAAATCGATGCGTTCGCCTGCTACCTGCAACAAAAGCTGATGCCCGCAGTTGTAAGCTATTTTGGCTATTTGAATTTTTCATGGTTTCAGGATCTCACCTCCATGGGTCGACGAGTCGAACTATCAGACCACCACCCATTATTGGTATACCAGCCAGCTACCGTTCCCCTATAATTTGTATTATGCCGAAAGGAGGAGGTAAGAAATTTTGCTTTTTCATGACTAACTTTTTTTAGGAGACGGGTTGTCCGTTCCTTGGGGAAGGCCAACAAGAACAAGATCATGCTGGATGCGCTCCAAGCCCTCAACATGCTTTCGGCACGATTGGGGGACAACAAATATTTTTATGGAGATAAGTAGGTCCTATGTCCCTTGTGCTTATGTTATTTCACTAGGCCCACCTCCCTTGACGCGCTGGTTTTTGGATATCTGGCAGTCTTGCTTCGAGTCCCGCTCCCAAATGATCGGCTTCAAGTCCACCTCTCAGCGTGCCCGAATTTGGTCCGTTTTGTCGAGTTGGTCACCTCCATCTACCTGCCGTTGAACGAGGAACAAATTGCGTGAGTTTTTCCGCCATCTAATCTATAATATTTTATTTTATAGGAATTACAAGGCCACTCAATCATTTTGGCTGACTCGGGTCGCCAAGGCCGTTAGCCAGAAAAAGGCGGAGACGGGGCAGCCGAAAGAAGAGGACGGCGAGGATCTGCCAATTAGGTCAGTTACTTTCCACGTTTTCGCACTCTTTTTTTAGGGATGCTCTTCTTTTTGGACTCGGTGCGTTGACGCTCTCTCTATTGTTTGCCGTCCATTCGGGAATTATCGAAATACAGGTACGTCTCAGAGAGTTATCCAGAGTTCTCTTTTTTAGGTCGAGGACGATGACACGGCAATTGCACAGGACTGATTCGCGGGATAGGAAGCTGTATTTTTGTAGTCTATACCGTAGCTTAGATTATAGTATCATTTCCCCGTGCATAATTTGGACGACTGAATAAAAATTTCTACCATAAACTGGCCCAATTCTATGCGTTTTTCGCAGTTTATTGATCATTTTTTGTGAATCTGTCAACTCTTAACATTTCCGATTAGATGAAGGGGCTGATCGTGCTGGCCCTGGTGGCCCTTTGTGTTTACGCCGAGGAGCAGGGCAAGCTCCAGATCGGGATCAAGGTGGGAGTTTTTTCTAAAGGATGTATATTTACAAGAAGACGTTTTTGCGTGTCCGCGGAGTTTCGAAATGGGACCAAGCATATTTTTCGCTGATCAAAACATACTTTTCAGAATCTGCGAAACGACCATATTGCAAAAGTTACGAAGCTTTAAAGTTCCAAAAAAGCCGGAAGTGATCAACTTTGGCCATTTTCGCCTTTTAGGGCGCCATAACTTTCTTACTTCAGTCGTTTCGCAGACTCTGAAATCGAGGTTCTAATCAGCGAAAAATTCTGCACAAAATAGGCTAGATCCCATTTCAAAACTCCGTGTACACTAAAAAACGTCCCCTTGTTAGTACATCTTCATTTCTATCATTGAAATGTCTTTTGCTTAGAAGCGCGTCGAAAATTGCGAGGTGAAGAGCCGAAAGGGCGATCTGCTCCACATGCACTACGTCGGCACGCTGCTCGATGGGACCGAGTTCGACTCTTCTCGCGGCCGCAACCAGGTCCGCTATTCATTTTTATCATATACTTTTTGTTTAGGAGTTCACCTTCACCCTCGGGCAGGGGCAAGTCATCAAGGGCTGGGACCAGGGCCTCTTGAACATGTGTGAGGGCGAACAGCGTCGTCTCACCATCCCGTCCCACTTGGCCTACGGAGACGTTAGTGTTTCTTTGTATAAAAAGCTTTCTTTTTTCTTTCTATCTTTTCTTTAGCGTGGAGCCCCACCAAAGATCCCGCCGGGTGCCACTCTTCGCTTTGACGTCGAGCTGATGAAGATCGAGCGCAAGGAGGCCGAGCTTTAAAATTACCTCACCTCATTTCTTTTGGGTAATTGTCGATTTCATTTCTGATTTTACCGTGGGTTTTTCTCTCTGTGTTAACTAGTTTTTTTGGGGTAATAAAACATTTTTGAAACATTCGTGAAATCTTGAAGGGTCCACACATCACATTCGTATTTGCCGAGAATTCCGGTGGTTTTCGGTTTTTGGGATTGAATTGATGTCGCTCGTTGACAACGCTTGCATCGTTTTATCTCGGCTTAAATTTCGGCAATTCGACAGCGTCATATTCTGCGGTGTTTTTTTGTTGTTGTTGATCAAAACCTTTAGGGTCACGGTGCTTCACTAATCAATTGCACCGCTGGTTCTCGAGACACTGGCGGGATGGTCTTGCCCAATTCAGCCTCCCGGCAAGGTGTGTTTGCTGGCTACTACCTCTTTTGCATGCGTCATTCCCTGATAACGTCCCCCTGCTTTGCAATTTTCTTGCAGTGTCTTTCATCACTTATCCAAAAATCCATCTTTTTCGGGCTAAAGTATCGAATTCCCGCCACAATTCATGTATTGGCTGATGGTTGTGGCAGCCACAAATCGTGACTCGATCATTCCGGGCCTCTTTTAGACCGGTTTTCGGCACGCGGCGGCAACCAATCTCCGCACGTCCTCTACTCCATGCTCAATGACGATGGCAGCTTAGGTCAGTAACGTTCCGTTTTTGGTGCTTCTGTGTGATTTTGGCAATGAAACGTCATTTCTCGAAATTTCTTATAAGCAAGGAGCGGTTTTTAGGTGATCTTGGAATTTTGCGCTGTGAAATAGATTATTCGATAGATCTTCTAATGCTGCACAAATCCCATTTTTCAAAATTTGCTGAACGACACGGGTTTTCAAGGAAATTCGCTCTGAAAGGGCCGAACTTTGGGAAACTGACTCTCGAAGACGGTTAGCGTTCAGCCATTTTTTTCAAAGATGGGACTTGTTTAGAATTTCAAGCTCTATCGAGTGAGCTATGTCACGTTGCAAAATTCTAAGATAACCTAAACATCACTCCTTGTAAGAAGCTGGCATTTACCCTACGGATATCCTTGCTCAATAATGCTTTTTAGGCCGGACGAAAGGGCCTTGGTGGCAGCGAATATGGCTAGCAGTATGCTGGGTAAATTTTTTGGGCGTACCTTTTACTTTGAACAACGATCTCACGATGCTAATTGGTATATTTAGATATTCTCAAGTGCATACGCGCGAATTCTTCTCCTGTTCGGCATCCGAAGACCGAGAAAGTCCAGCCCGTCAGTCACGGTAGAGGAGGCGGAAGAAGCTTACGAGTTAGAAGAGGATGATGAAACGCTCCCGGCGATAGCTGACAATGATCAGAGCACATCCGATGGGGGAGAGGTATAATTTTTGTAATCTATAGTTGTACTTTGAGTTTAGCCAAGATATCAGAGAACGGTAATCGGCTTGCTTTTTTTCTGGGCTTTTTTTTGCATTCTGCTGCCTACCTACATCCAATATTTTTACAGAATTTTGCTCGCTCGAAAAGCGATGGGGCGCCCCTTGGACGGAACAAGGACAAACGCGGCCGGGGCACCAGCTTGTTTTCTAAAGGTATCATTCACATGCGTGAAATAATATTTATTTTTCTAGTTAAAAGAAATGTTGAAGAACGCTTGGAAACAATGCGAAATTCCGACAGCGCCAAAAGAATGACGTCCGGAAGGTGGGTTTTGCAGGCTATTGTGAATATTTCGTTTCTAGAGATAGCCCTTCGACCAGCGGCGTGGCCTCTTCGTCGGGAATGACCTCTTCCAACTCCTCATTCGATCGGTTGATCACGAAAGGAGTGAGTGCTGGACGAGCAATTCGCGAGACGATTCAGGTTAATACTTTTGATTTTTAGATCAGAACTAGAAAACCCAAGTATTCGTTACCCGCTGAGGTGGAGGTTGGACATTGCTTTTCTGGCTTTTTTTTCGCTTCGGCAGATGCTTCTTTTTCGACAATGATGTTCTTTTTAGAACCTGAACGAGCGGGGCGACAGATTGGAAGGTGCCGATGATGCCACAGAGCGATTGGCCGAATCAACAAGAAATTATGCCGAGACTTCCTCCGCTCTCCTACAAAAATATCAAAAGAAAAGGGGTTTCTTCGGTTAAAATTTATGGGCATTTTCCCCCGGGTCTTTACTCTAAATGTCACTTTTTCATTCACAAGCCGCTCTGTTTGTATATACCTGTAATTTAGAAAATGTGAAAAACTGTTAGCTATCAACTCTCGCGTTCAGTCGAAGTCTGTCCTTCACCCTTCAATCATTTGTACCCTACAATAATCTGTTGACGAATGTGACATAATCCAATCTTTTGACGGGTACCTTTAACTATTTGCTTTATGATCAGGTGTAAATTTGTGTATTCCATGAATCCGGATAATCAATAAAGGTGATAATCATTTTTTTACAAAATGAATGGTCCTGACTGGAATGGTACCGAGCGTAAAGAGTATTATCGAGGCCTTCCGCGCAAAATCTCTGACTTTTGCCGTTTTCTTGTTTTTCATCAAACTGCGGAACCCGGAAATCTGTAATCTTTTGGCAATACTTTTTATTAATTTCCCTGTCGAACGTGTCCTGGCGCTATTTCGGAATTGGGGACCCACTTTGATCATTCTAAAAACCACTTTTGCTGGGGTAATTTTGCACGGTCATTCCGAAAAACGGTACCCCATCCCGTAAAACGTACATTTTCACCATAATATTTGATCTTTATAGGATCGCTATGGTACATAGGGCGGGCGGACTTGGCTTCAAAAGTACATTTGCGAGGCAATTCCCTTGGGTGATTATGTTTTTGGCTTGAGTCTAGGCTTTATGGCAACGCCCACATACGCTAAGCTGAAGCTTCCGTAAAAAAAACAGCCTAGGATCCCCCTTACGTTACACGGGAGCTTGGAAAAGTCGCCCATATAGGTAGCTTACAAGTAGACTCTACGCGAGGTGGGTTCGTCTGGATGGCCGAGATTTGGTCTCAATCAAGCTAGTTCATCAGTCGGTCTTAGTTGGCTTATAAAGTTTAGAGGTTGCAAAACGAAGCTATCAGTGTATTGTGGCCAAAAGTCAGGCACGCACACTTAGCTTCCCTAGCAGTTCATTAGACTTAGATAATTTTTTTATGTCGAAGGCTAGGGTTTTACAAGTTGGTATGGTGTTTTTCGCAACCAGCACGCAAAACTATCCAAGAAAACAGAAAGAAAACATGTCGCAAACCCTAGATTTGATAAAATCCAAGTGGGTCCCCTATTCCGAAATAGCGCCCGTGTCCTTTCCAATGCTTGTACAAGTTATCTTTTTCAGATTCTCCTCATTTCTACTTGTCGTGATGGCCACGCAAGCTGTGAATTTTGCCACCTACATTTACATTACGGGAGTTACATGGTTGGCAATGCTTTGGTATTACCAGGTATTTGATGTTCGGTTAATATATTCTTCTTTTTCAGGAGGACCCGCCACATTTCGTCCTATTCTTCCCGTTCTACATCGTATTGGCCTGTGTATTGTGGGGCGTAACCAACATTGTGAAGAAAGTATACGATTTTGATGATTGTGTTTCGGTAAGTTTTCGTTTTCGATTGGCAACTACGTTTTTCATCAGGCTCGTGAAGAACTGCTCGGCGAGATCGACGAGGCAAGGAAGAATATGAAGTGCCTGAAGAAAGACTAAACGCTACATCTTACAACTTCCATTTTTACGGGTTTCTCAGTGATTTGCATTTTGGATAAACTTATATACCTCAGCAACAGCACCTTCCTTTCAAAGCAGTTGGCCGGTGATAGGCCGTTTGGAGTAACAGCGCGGGAAGATTTGGGCAAATGAGATGAATGGCGGGGAAACCAGCGAATCCTGCCGTCGCTGACTCTGGGTTTATTGTCGATGATCTTTTACTGGGTCAGCCAACCGATTGCCGAATGCCCTGGGGGCGAATAGTCGTCGGGTCGATCACGGCCCGTGGCGTCAGGCAGAGCGATCGATTTTTCCTTTTCGGGCTGCTACAATCATTATTCGTGTATTTACGAATTACAACATCACTGGACTCCAAGTGTTTTCATTGAAAATTTAATGCTTTTATCGTGGTAACTCCTTTAGATGGACTGCACGGAGATGGGATACCAGAAAGGGTTGCGGTTTCGCAATCTTCCGAAACAATGCCATCAGTTGGTTCTTTCTCGAGTGGCCCTCCAGGCGCTGGTGAAGCTGCGCTATGTGAATAAGGTGTGTTCGGTCAATGTGGATCTAGAACAAGATAGAATATTGGGCAGCACTGTAGTAATTCCTTGCGGCTATGATTAAATATCCTATGTACCAGATTTTCTACAATCGTTCCCTGCTGGCGATGGTGATGAACATGCGATGGCTCGAATTTCGATGTGAATTCAGCGACAAAAATGTTGGTGCCTCCGAGTAACAAATAAAAATCCGACCGATCCGACCGAGCCGAAAAAAAATTATTTGTTGTCCGGACTTTTGATTGCAGGACACACGAAATTCTGTTTTTTTCGAGCACTTTTCCTGACTGGCGCTTGGGATCGGGTCAGCTTTATTGAGCTTAGCTTCAGTTAAGCTACATTCAACCTTAGCCTGACATTCAAGCCTCCAGCTCCCGTCGTAACCCAAAACCGCGCCCTCCTCACGGATCCGTGAGCACCGAACTTTTCAGTTGGCATTACGATGGCATGGAGAAAATGGCAATTTGGTTGTAATGTTCACTACTCGGCGAAGTTTGGCCAGCGTTGAACCATTCGAGTAAGCTTTAATTCCTTTTTTTTAAGATTGTAATGTTATAGGGACCCGCCTACACAAGTTGTTCACAGACAACCCTGGAGGGAGCGGAAAATCGAGTCGGCCTTCAACTACGTCTTCAACTACCGTAGCAGGGAACAAGTTCAACACATGCTGGGTATTTACCCCAAAAAGTCGATGGTGGTATGTTGGACGATGCTGTTTCGTTCTACCATGTGCTCTTGAATATTCACGGGGGGGAACCTAACTTTTCCGGCTCCGGCCTAAACATTCACACCAGGTTTTTAAACATTCCGGATGTAAAAATAAAACTATTTTAGTGCAAGAGATTAATTTTGGGTAGAAAATCAATTGTTTTCGGCCCAAAATGACCGGATTTTTCGCCTTTCTGAAACATTTTTCTAAGTTTTAAAACTTTTTCTGCTTTAAATATAGTCAAGTCTTACTAAAACGTCTTAAAAACACGTTATATTTACTTAATAGGCGGTTCTGGAGCCTTAGAAAAAAGGGGTCGCTTATGCCGCAAATTAAATCCTACATAGTTTTCAAAATAATCAGGAAAAATCGCAGGATTTAGGCACGGATGGTTCTTGATATCCCCCGAATGGGCCGCTGCCCAAATCATAGCGCATCAAGGCAACGTTGCGATTGCCCGACCGACATGACGAATATGCATGGATTGGTGGGTTCTGATCAGCACTCCCTTCGTTGGCGTTCGGGATTCCCCGATGACTTGATTTAGTTCGGAAACCACCCGTTTGTCGAAATACTATCTCTCGCCGAATATCCCCGTAAATCCTGGAATTACATGCTGGACGTCATCTCGGCTGCCATCGCGAAACTCGTGAGTAAAACTAAACCCAGGCTCTAATAAAACAGCTAAAAGGGGGGTACTGGACTGTCATCAGACGGGAAGTATTTCTAGCAGGGGGAACTATTCCTTATTTTTCCGCCTACCTATCTGTTAATAATAATTAGTAGTTTTTGATTGCGATAAAGTTACAAAAAATCTTATAAACATTTTTGAAAATTCGAAAATTTTGGCCCTGGTTGGTAATTTTTCATACCTTTTTGCCAAAAGTCACAAAACCTTCGAATGTTTTTATAGTATTTATCAGCTTTTATATCTAAAAGCTGTGTAGAATGCCATAAAATGTTATAGGATGTCAATGATAAATCCAGAAGATTGATCGCCTTCAGCGCGATCGAATTGTGCTACCTCGACAGGCGGAAAAAAGCCAGAGTGCGTATTTTTTAGAAATCTCGTTAATAATGGCTGTTTTCTGCAGCTTCATCCGGATCAGATATTTTAGAGAACGCACGGGCTGTTCCCTGAAGTTGGGCGTCGGCTGGAAGGCGTCCTCTCCGACAGATGGCAACTATTCTCGGCCATCATAGTTGACGGCGATTTCAAGATAATACAGGTGAACACCACCCATCAGAATTTTTGAATTTTAACTGGAACTGGGTTATTGTGAAAAATTTGCAGGGTCTGCGTTGCCGAAGCGACTACGTGCTCCCCACTCTTTACCAGGAGTATGTTGGAGCGGTCAGCATCCCTAATCCTGGCAACAAGAGTGTAAGCTTCTACGATTACTTGACGCACCGATGTAATGAGAGAGGAGACGGTTTTTTTCGGTACACATCGGATAACGGGAGGGCACTCATTGTCAGTTTTTTATGATAAAAATATATTTAAATATGGTTTTACGGGCCTTACAAAAAAGCCGTGAGTATATTTTTCGGCCCTCTATCGAATGGCACTTTCAAAATATCGAAAATATTCAAAACGCTGAAAATAGTTTTCCCTCCCGCTATCCTATGTGCTGCCCATAGTTTTCAAAGATAGTTTTTCGACTATAAAAATTTTATATTAGATTTTTTCGTGTTGTAAAAAAATTTCTTAGTATATTTTTCTACGCACTATCGAATGGCAGACGCGAAATCCCACAAACATCCAAAATTTTATAATAAAGAGGCTGTTCTTTTTGTTCTAGTTGAAATATAAGGACTAAGGATGAGGTTTTATAACCATTAGAATTGAATATTGGGAAAAACAAAAATCGGTGCTTCCGTGCTAGCGGGGGGAGGGCATTTTTGTCGAAAGCGTTTGTATATGTATTTGTGTTTGTTGTTGAAAATAGTCACTGTAAAATGCAATTGGAAATTGTATAACTTAAATTACTTCACCCCTAAAACCCCTCCCAAAAAAATTATTCCTTGCTCCCCGCAAACACGGAAGCACCCAAAAATCAATACAAAATCTACTAATTACTCCTCCCTTCTATTCACAATTCCACAATTTACAGATAGCGAAAGGGATACGATCGATGCTGATTTTGGCACAGAACTACGGTGCAGGCGTCGAAGCCAAAAAAACGGTAAGTAAGGGGGAGTGGAAATGGAAAATATTGGTTTTGGATTGAAAACGCAGGAAAACGGACCAAAACTGAGCACAACTTCCGGTACACATAGGATAACGGGGGGCACTCGTTATTATGAAATTTGCAATTACTTGGGATTTTGCGAGTGCCATTCGATAGAGCGTCGAAAAATATACTGAGAGAATTAATTTCAGCCCAAAATAATGTAATAGAAATTTTTTATTGAATAAACAAAATTTGAGGAAAATCTATGGGCAGCACATAGGATAACGGGGGGGGGAAGTCAAATTTTCGAAATTTTCGGTATTTTGAAAACGTCATTCGATAAAGCGTCGAAAACTGCCCTAGGAGAATTAATTTCAGCCCGAAATAATGTCAATGCAATTTTTTTATCGAATAAACAAAAATTTATCGAAATCCATGGGCAGCACTTTTTTTTTTAAAAAGATAACGGGGGGGGAGCCAAATTTTGAGATTTTCGATATTTTGAAAACGCGAATCGATAGAACATCAAAAAATATACTAAGAGATTTTTTACAACGTGAAAAAAGGTATTATAAAAGTTTTATAGCTTAAAAACTATTTTTGAAAACTATGGGCAGCACATAGGATAACGGGGGAATCTTTCGGCGTTTTGAATATTTTCGATATTTTGAAAATGCCATTCGATAGAGGACCGAAAAATATACTAAGAGCTTTTTTTACAGCCAGAAAAAAGCATATTTAAAAATACTTTTATCATAAAAAAGTTTGAGTGCCCCCCGTTATCCTATGTGTACCCAACTTCCTATTACTACGCTCTGCCGGAGGAGACTATCAATCACATTTCTAGCGTACGAAACGATTCAGAATATTTGAAGAAAGCTATTCGCGTCTGCTTGTAAAAGAGCGTGATAATCTCGAATTTTTCAAAATAATTATAAAAACCCGAGGCTCCTCCGGACCGTCAAAAGCCGGTGCTTTTTCTCAACGCTCAACACCGAGCCCTTTTAGCTCCCCATTGAATACTCGCTTTTTAGGTGCACGCTGATGCTTGTAGGGCAAAATTTATCAGAGCATCGGACAAATTGAAGCGACGATGGCCGGAAGGTGGAGATCAGCCGCTTCCGTTTCAGTGGTAACACAACCCGCTTCTCCAACGGCATTCTATCGTTTTTATTCATTTTACGCATAATAAATTTTTGGCATATTGACGCACAGGCATGGCAGCGCAACAGAGATGCTTCGGACAGTTTAGGATGTCTGTAAAAATGGAAGGAGCAAAATTTAGCCGAAACCGTATATATGTTAGCTCATTCCAAAAGCGAATTTTTTGCTGAACAAGAGGCAACCGTTTGTTAAATTTCGCCCTTCGAATTTTTACAGCCCCGTGAAGGTGTCATTTTTGACAACTTGGCCCACTTTGAAGCCTCAGAACTTTCTTGTCCTCTCCATTTAGCAAATATATTGTTAGCAAATACAAACTATATCAACTAGAAAAAAACTATCTAAAAACTTTTTTAAAAGTCGAAATATTGGTAAAAAATCGGCCATTTTGGTCGAAAAATCGATACGTTTTCGCGTTCACGTTGAGGAATAGTAAAGAACCCTTTAAATACTTCCACTATTTCTATTTCAAAAAAAATAATCCTAAGAAAAAGTCTCCCCCCCCGATGATGCGAAAGAGTCCAGATTTTGAAGTGGATACGCTTTGTTAGGTATTTAAGGAATACACTGTTAGCTGTTTTGACACCCGTTGGCGCTAAGGTGTCCCGAATTTCAAGGCATTTTGCGATGTGTACCAATTTGGCGGGCTGGTAGCTGCCGTTTTGGCGGGGGAGGGCTCGTGAGACACAAAGAAAACGGCGGATGGCGCAGAGAGCTGAATGGCGGGAAAGCAAGCGAATGCTTGTGGAACGGGCATCGGTCGAGAGTAACGCTGAAAGCTCCATCTTCGCCCCGGAACTGCTTCTTTTAATTTATAAATTTTACCATGCTTAGCGATAAGGCCATGAGTAGCTGACAGAGCTTTTCTCGCATTATCGGCTTTCTATTACTGACCGCGCACGCCTCGAGGGGCAGAGTGCCTTCTAAAGACATCTGCCGATGGCCGTTGTATCACTAATATCTACCAGGTGCTAGGTTATTCACGCAATAACACACCAATAGACGTATTATTGCGGTTATCTCTTCATTTTGGCAACTATATTCCTTTTATACCCGGCCGCTTTTCAATGTTTCTTCCAGCAATCTCCAAAAAACATCCTATGAGCTCTCCAAACGATGTGGCTGAAGAGGTGACCATCGAGGAGCAGCCCACTGGCTCCTTTGTAGAAGTGGAACGAGATGAGGAGAAACGTATGCACATTATAATTTGTAATTTAACCCTCATAATTTTAGCTGGCAGCCCGCTGGACGAATTTCTCTGCGATGGCTCGATCAACGCGCCCACAGTCACTTTCATCGACTTCTGCGAAGCGATCGATCCGACGTTAGAAGAGGATGTGAAGTATCGTGTCTGGTGCTTCTATGAATGGATTACTTCTGCGGTTACATTGACGGTATTTTTAAAGAAAGGTTTTTATCAAGTCTCCCAGGGCCCCGAGATGCCATGGATCGCAGCCAGCTTTTTCGCCACTCAACATTTGAAGAAAAAAGTGCGGGATATGCCAAAGTTTAGGTAAATTTGAGGCGACGGTTGGTAATATTGATTCAGATATACATTATGTGAGGTGCTCGATGCCGGAAAATTGAGCGTTATTGATCTGTTTGACCGGTTGAACCGGATTGCCCCGATTTTTGGAGGGATTGTCACGACCAAGTTGATGACATTGGTTTGTTTTCTATTTGAGAGGGACACCACGCTCTTTTTTAGTCCCGACGCCTTCAAAACACACTGTCCGTCTCAGTGACGATATTTCGTAAATTCTTGAAGATATTTCGGTTTGTTTTGGAGCGTTAGCCAAACATTTTTCGTTCAGTTTTGTGTTCGCTCGACCGGAATCGCAAACGGTTGACGCATTGCAGCCCCGGGTTTTTCGCATGATATGGTACTTGTATTTGATGACCAGAAGTAAGTACTACTGCTTTTCCAATTTCACCCCTCAAATTCCAGAACAACTTCCGGCGGGATCGAGCTCAGATCTACTTATCTGTTTTGATGCCCTACTGTGCTGCTTCGATCTGGTGGTGCGTGACCTCGATTGCTTCGACCTGCAGCACACGTTTACACAAGAATTTGGTAGGTTTTTCGGATCGAAGCGTAAAAAAGAATTTTCAGTCCAAGGCTCGAGCGGCGAGGGCGAGCAAATTCTTTCGTGCTTGTGCGCGCAGTTTGACGGGGCTGCCCTCGACGCGAAGCACTTCAAGGTGCACGTGTTTGAAAAGATAATTTACGAGGTAATTCCGGGGGTTCGGCTAAAAAGTTTATAATCGATTTAGAAGATGAATCTGCAATGGCCGCTGAATATTATCGACAATGGCGACAATTATATGTGAGTATTTTGACTAAAACATACTGAGATTCCTACACTTTTAGTGGTGATTTCGACGTTGCCTACGACCAGCAGCTGCGCCAAAAGGGCGAATTCGACGAGCGCCTGTTTCTGCCCGAGCATTTTGAGATCATCTACGACGCGGATTACGATGGTTGGTTTGACAGCTTCAAAAGATCATTCTATCCTTTCAGCGGCCCCTCTCGAAATGCTGCGAAGAGCCGAGCTGTCCGACTGGTCGATCGACACAAATCTCCTGGTCCGCGTTTCCACACAGGTGCGTTTAATCATTTTTTCAATATACAACCGTTTCAGGCTTGTCTGGAGCGCGTTGAAAAGATGAAGCTCAAGCCGCACGTTGCTCAGGGGTAAGGAAGCCTCTTAGAACTAAAAATTCTGTTAAGAAACGTCATCCAAAAATACGTGATGGCCTCCGATCAATTTTGCCCGCGGATGGGAAATGAACTGCCGACATTCACAGCAAAAGTGCTAGAAGCCCTGATTCCACGCGGTTGGACGCTCGAAGGTAGATCTTCGAGCTCATGATCGGACTTTATTTTCTATTTTAGGATCGCAATTGATGAGCTGCTTTGCCGAGTACGAGGACGATCCGATGCCTATAATTAAGGATAGCGTTAGGACGTTGACGAATAAGTAAGTAACGAAAATATTTATGGTCTTACCTTTTTTCCATGTTATTTCAGTTTTGAAGTCTTTTTTCCAGTATGATACGCATCCATTTCCAGATTCAGCAAACGTGTAGCGCAAGAAAAGAATAAATCGACCGACGGAATTCCGGACCCGGAAATCACATCAAATCTGGCAATGCATCGGTGAGGAATCGTGCATCGCTTTTTATGTATATTTCACGTTCAGCGCGCTTGTTGAGGAGCTGTTCTACCATCTACTCGAGAGGATCATCGTCGCCGAGCGGGAGAAGATGGCTGCGTATAAAGAGGCCGATTTGTCGGTACGTCTACTCGAAAAGTTATCTAGAACATGAGTTTAGTTGATCGCCCGGAAGCAAGAATTCATCGCGTCGCTGTTTGCCGTGACACTCGAGCTGGTGCTCGCCGCGAACAAGTCGACACGAAAATTCCCCTGGGCCCTTGGTAAGGGTATATTTTGTTGTTTTCTTGAAAATTGGCATTTAATGGTATTCGGTGTAAAAATTACAGAAGAATTTATTAAAAGTCTCTAACATTAATTTATAGCTAAAATCTTTCTTTCAGAAGCTCTCGGCCTTCCCGCCATCCATTTCTACAAGATCATCGAAGTGGTCGTCCGCTCGGAGCCGGCCCTGTCACGCGAGATGGCAAGACATTTGAATAGGGTGGGTTTTAGTTCATTAGTATTTCGGAAATACTATTTCCTGTCAGGCCCACGCTGTTTTTCTATCTTTCCTGTTTTCTGATACAAATCGGAAGTGTTTCTCGACTTTTTTTTTGACAATACTTAAACGCAAAACTTAGGGAATTCGCTCAAAAAATAAAAATAAATTCCGAATCTCAACCAAAACTTGATTGAAATTTTCCTTGCGAATTTTCAAAAGTTTTGCCACTTGAAATATAGTGAAATTTTACACCATAAAACACTTTCTACGTTCCAGATCGAGGAATCCGTATTCGAAGAGCTGGCCTGGAGCTTCGAGAGCCCGCTGTGGAATCATTTGGCCCAGCGAGCCGACGGTAAGTGCAGCACATTCGAGAATTTTCATTCATTTTCATTTTTTACTGCCGTTTTCAGCGATCCCGAGCTGCAACACGGTGTGGGCCGGCGAGATGCGCAGCGAGTTCTATTCCCCGGCAAAGCGGATGAGGTACTATTATTATTGCTAACTTTAATGCGCTTACCCGATTTGCTATCATAATGTCGAAAATTAAAATAAATTAAATTACTATCATAATGTCGAAATTTCATCATCTCGAAATTCAGAATGTCAGAAATTTTTTGCATACGATTCGGGTTTTTTTTTGCAGGAAATTTGCTTAGATAAACCTCTATTCTGAACTTCGACGTTACGATTTTCGAAATTTTTGAAAGTAACCATCCTACTACCGATCTTTTAGAACCGAAGAAGATGGCGTACCGTCCAGCAAAGCTATGAATAATTTCTTTAGAAAGGTATTCAGCTGTTTGTAATTTTATGCAATTCGTCATTTTTAGCTCTATTTTATCGCCTCAAACCGCCTGGTGGACATTTGCGAGCGGTTGAATTTGAATGAACAGGCGAAGAGTCGGGTAGGGAGGTTTTCCAATACCTGTAACTTTTTTTTTCAGGTCTGGACCCTGTTCGAGTACATTCTGAAGACGGAGACGAACCTGCTGGCCGGCCGGCATTTGGACCAGAATCTGATGTGCGCTGTGTGAGTCCTGGAATCCGCTTTTTATGCCCCGAATTTCAGGTATATAATTGGAAAGGTGCTGAATCTGGAGATCACGTTCAACAAGATAATGGAGACGTACCGCTCGCTGCCGAGCGCCCAGGAGCGCGTATTTCGTTATGTGACCGTCGAGACGGAAGTGTGAGTTTTCTGGAAAAATTCGTTCTATCGCATTATCGGGGGGGGGGGGGGCTTTTCCTAGATTTATCAAATTTTGTAAGAGGAATTGGAATTTATTTGGATATCGTTTCCCATTATTTTTAGATATAAAAAGTTCAAATTTGTCTGTAGAGTGTAAAAATATCGCCAAAAATTATGGATTTTTTGCTCTAAATGTTGAATTTTGTTTGGTAAGCTAGTTTTAACAGCTTTAGCTTATTTTTAGCTTCATTATTCAAATTTTTATTTACTATCCTTATCGTGTTTTTATAGCTTTTTACAAAGTTTAAGGATTAAAGTAGTTTCTTCCCGTCAGAGGTGGCTAAAACCGATTAAAAACCTATTAAAATGCGCCCTATTGCAATGCTAAGCTTACATACGTTTTTAAGAAAACATTTTATTCTACGCCCCCGATAATGTAAAAGTACCCATTCTTTTGATTTTTCGCTTTTGAAAATGAATTTTTATGCGTTCGTTTAGACCGCTCGATGATGTGCTCAGCCAATTCCTTGTCAAGCCCAACGAGGCGCTAATGGTAAATTATACCCCCGACAACGAGTCATTGAAATTTAGCATGCGATCGAGACCCGGCAATCCATCGTGAATAGCGAAAAAGTGAACATTATCGAGTACTACAATCGCGTCTTTTGGCCCAGGTTTGAAGCCGTGATTTTGGTGACAATCTCTGATCTCTTAGGGTCGACAACTTTGTTCGCCGCATGGACGACCCGCAATTTTCGGTCCGCCGCCAGCCGATGCCAATGCTACGCCAGTACAATGTGACGCCGCTGAAGAAGATGATCACAGGTAGAGCCGACTCCACTACGTTTCTATCGCCATCTCAGATCGTATCTCCGTCCAAACCGTCCAGCCCGGGCCCAAGAAAACGACGAAGATCACGTACCGTCCGGTCGGGCGTGGTGGAGGGGCCGCCGTGAGGACGTTGACCAGGGTACGGTAGTTTTATTTTATGCAGTTGGGGTGATTAGGGGGTTCATAGGATACAATTTTGAATATATTAAAATTAATTAAATCGACACATTTTTGAAATAGGGTTCAAAAAAATAGGTTTTTCGAGAGAAATTGAAAAACTTATCATTCTTAGATTATTTAATTTTTATTGTGATATTTTTACATTTTTTTAAAACATTCTGTAAAAAACCACTTCTCGAGTTTCTAATATGAAAAGATAACAAAAATGCAGAAACATCACTGCATTTTTTCGACATGCTATTTTTCGAAAAGTGATTTTCGACAGAATTTTCCCGATTTTTGGGGTCTAACCCTGTTTTTGAACCCGTTGGAACCAAAAACGTCTTGAACTCCACGGCCCTATTTAGAATTGCGTTCGCCTTCTCTTGCAACCAAATTTCCTTTGTTTTTGGCCCCCCGATTCCGAATTCAAACATCAGCCAAAAGTTAGACTTTCCTCTTCCCCCGAAATCGTGGTAATGGACTGGAAAGTGTTTGCGATAGCTTCTAGTCGAGTTGGCCCCGGGGGTCGCCCTCCCCCGAAAAAAATACGGAAGTTGAAGCGGAAATTTGACAACCCTCTCGCTCTTTCAGCAATTCGTCGGTGAGCAGAGGCCACCCATGCGTCGTGTGCTGCCCGCCACCGGAAATGCCGCTGGAGCAGGAGGAGGAGGAGGTAGCGGGGCAGGAGGCCAGGCTCCGGCTCCCCGGCCCGTCATCACCTCGTCGTCGGCGTCGGCCGCCTACCGGGCCGTTCAGCGCGGCCCGTCGATGGCCACCACGAATACGTCCTATGCCCCTGCTGCGACCACAGCTTCTTCTTATTCCCGTCCCGTAGCGAGGACTTTTAAATATTAATCCCCACCGTGTCCTGTAGATATTCTGTATGTTTATATTTTTAGAATTTGACCTGAAAAAAACCCACAACTCGTTTACGTTTCTTGGGTGCTTTGGCATTATCGGGGGGGTTTCCTGAGGATCACTGTTCTATTATGAAAAGGGAAAGATGTTCTGAGCTATTTTTGAAATACCGTAACGTAAAGACTTTAGAACTTTGTATTAACGATAAAAATACGTTTTTTGACCACATTGGCCAATTTTCAACCAAAATTTTCCATTTTAAAAGTTTTTGGATGGTTTTTGAGGGGGAAATTTTAAATGATGTTAAAAACTATGAAAATACAGGCTAGTACGTTACTATACAGTGTGACAGTACCCCCCGATAATGCCAAAGAACCGTCGCCTGTGTTATTTCCTTTGCTCTAAAGCTCTTACCTTTTCCCACTTTCCCCCACCCCCATTTTATCCACTCACGAAAAAAACACAGACGTAGCCCCGATTGGTTGACTTTCGGGTATATTTGTTGCCCTAAAAAAAGATGGTTGATAAAATATTCAGAAAAATAAGCGAGTCACGAAGGGGTTGCCGGTTGCCCTCTTCAGATTACCCGGGCGCTGGCCGCGCGGCGTGTGTGTATGTGTATTCCACCCCCGTGCCAGGGGATGAAATCTGGGTGAGCAGAGAACTCGCGCACCTTTACTCCCCGCTCCATTCAAATACACGCACGAAAATAACACCCCAGAAATCAGGCGGAGTTTTGATAGAGGCCACCCGAGCAACGATTTTCGAAAATAAGAATTTTTGGAAATTTCGAAAACTGGATTGATTACCTTTCTTTTTAGATTTTGTACATCGTGCTCACCCACTACTCAGCTTCCGGAGCTTTTTTATTCATGGTGGGGTGGGGACTTTTTTATAAGATCCATTTCTCTATTACTATTTAAGAGTCATCTACATTTAATCATGCCAAAACTTTACAAATTTCGTTTGGTAAACTACAAAAATATCGACTTTCCAGCAAAAGGACGATTTTTGACAAAAATTACAAAGTTTAAAAGATTTTTAGTTAGTTTTTAGATAATTTTTGACTTGGAATTTGTTGATTTTTTACAGACATGGCAATCGGCCGGGCCGCGCGGCTTTTTCGGCCGCAAAAATTAGAATGCGGCCGGGCCGCGCGCAGGGCGCGATCCTTTTGGACAGAAACTGGAGGGCGCTGGTCCCAAAATGGGTCGGGGCGCTGGTCTAAGCACTAGTAAAATCGCAATTTTTTCCGGCGCCTTCGGCGCCATTGTATCTTTTAAGAATCTTCCGTTGACTATGTGATTTTTTTTGTAATTTACCTGTGTTGTAAATTTGTTTTTGATTGTTGTAATAAATACTTGTAATAAACATTGCGTTACTTGTTACCAACCGTGAAGCAGTCATAGGCAACTGAAGAAAAAATGGCAACTGAAGCAGAGGAAGATGAAGAGATTCTCTAAATTTATTCCTGCAAAGCTACCTAAATTACAGACTATACATCTGCGTGTTATTCTTATTCCGAAAAATCCTGATGCAACACGAACCGATGCGATGATGTGGTCAGTGACGCGAGCCGTTTCCAGTACATTATCGTACGGAGCAGATGGAACACCGAAAAATCTGATTTAAAATTCTCAACTCTCGTTAACCAAATTATTGAAAGCTCTCAGATTAGCTTACCGGTTAGCCAAATTATATACGCGCTGTGTCTACTACATACGCAAGCTACAAAATTTTTTTTTAACGCCGTTTGCAGTATCGGCTCGGAGTTGCTGACCCTGAACCTAACGAAAATCCGTATAAAAATCCTATTTCGGTGCTCCTTTGTCGAATCGCTTCGAAACTTCTTTGGTGAGTCGGATTAGGTACCGTCTGCATTGGGTAAAAATTTGAAATCGATCCGAGCCATTTAAGATATAGCTTGGGACCAAACTTACCTTGGACATGACCCCTTTCCTCCCTTTAATATGGGCAAAAACAGTCAAAAAATCATATCTCGGTGCTCCTTTGTCGAATCGCCTTGAAACTGCTTTGATGAGTCGGACTATGTACGGTCTACATTGTATAAAAATTTGAAATTTATCCGAGCCATTTAAGATATAGCTTGGGACCAGCGACTGCCTCGGTCCCTCCAATATCAACTTTGGTAACGCCCTGTCCAAAATAAGTTTGGTCCCAGGCGTCGCGAAGCTCCGGCCAATCTTTTTGATTTATATTTGAAAATGATCGCGGTGAAAAGGACTACCACCCGCGTAAGCCTCGAGGAAAAATAATGGATGGTTGCGGAGTTAAGAGGAAAAAACGGAAAATGGTTCGATTCTGTGTCCAAAATAATGGATTTTCGCCGGTCCCAGGCTCCCTGGAAATAAAAGCTTTCTCCAATTTTATGTTTGTATCAGGTAGTAGATACTTGGAGCTAGCTTGCGTCGAAGTTTCATCGCGATCGAGCCGGGTTAAGGGGGCCAAAAGGGCCAAAATAGGGCCTTATGTCCAAAATAGATGAAAAATTTGGTTTTGCAGTCGCTGGTCCCAAGCTATATCTTAAATGGCTCGGATCGATTTCAAATTTTTACCCAATGCAGACGGTACCTAATCCGACTCACCAAAGAAGTTTCGAAGCGATTCAACAAAGGAGCACCGAGATATGATTTTTTGACTGTTTTTGCCCATATTAACGGGAGGAAAGGGGTCATGTCCAAGGTAAGTTTGGTCCCAAGCTATATCTTAAATGGCTCGGATCGATTTCAAATTTTTACCCAATGCAGACGGTACCTAATCCGACTCACCAAAGAAGTTTCGAAGCGATTCGACAAAGGAGCACCGAAATAGGATTTTTATACGGATTTTCGTTAGGTTCAGGGTCAGCAACTCCGAGCCGATACTGCAAACGGCGTTAAAAAAAATTTTGTAGCTTGCGTATGTAGTAGACACAGCGCGTATATAATTTGGCTAACCGGTAAGCTAATCTGAGAGCTTTCAATAATTTGGTTAACGAGAGTTGAGAATTTTAAATCAGATTTTTCGGTGTTCCATCTGCTCCGTACGATAATGTACTGGAAACGGCTCGCGTCACTGACCACATCATCGCATCGGTTCGTGTTGCATCAGGATTTTTCGGAATAAGAATAACACGCAGATGTATAGTCTGTAATTTAGGTAGCTTTGTAGGAATAAATTTAGAGAATCTCTTCATCTTCCTCTGCTTCAGTTGCCATTTTTTCTTCAGTTGCCTATGACTGCTTCACGGTTGGTAACAAGTAACGCAATGTTTATTACAAGTATTTATTACAACAATCAAAAACAAATTTACAACACAGGTAAATTACAAAAAAAATCACGATTTTTTCATTAGTTTCGCAACAATTATCGTTCCAATTTCGAAAAAATTGGCGCCGCTATCGCGGCGCTGGTCTAAACCCTAGTCAGAAATCGCCTGGCGGCGGTCCTTTTGGGAGTTCTCAAAAATTTTTCGCGCCCTGGCCGCGCGGCTTGGCCGCACTTCCGGTGCGGCCGCGGCTTTTTTCCGTTTTGAGGCCGCACAGCGCCCAAGCCGCGCGGCTTTTAAGGCCGCATCCAAATGAGTTTTGAGAACTTCCGGTACGCAAATCCGAGATGTAATGGGTATTTAGCTTGCTAACGAGGAGGATTTATTTTCGACAACCTTAATTTTCTCATTTCCATTTCCATTTCGCATGAAATTCGCGGTTTCTCGATATGTAAATGAGCCACTTCCGGTTTGCGGCTTGGCCGCGGCGGCCCGGCCGAGCCGCGATGAAAATGCGGCTCGGCCGCGAAGCCGCGTTTCCGGAAGTAACTAATTACGGCGGCTCGTAGGGGGCCGCGTTTTTTATGGAAATTAGGCCGCCGGCCCGGCCGCGCGGCTCGGCCGATCGGAATTGCCATGTCTGATTTTTTACTAGAAACGCTACTAAAACGTTTATTCAAATACAGGGTGTCCCAAAAAAAAAAGACCCCCCCAAAAATTTGAGCCAGAGGGTACCTACGGAGCTGAAAATTTGCACAGAGGTAGCGAAGCCAATTTCCCATGTATATGGAAAGTTTGAGCCATATCGGCCGACGGGTTTTAAAGTTATAGCGAAAATACCTGTTGATTTTTAATTTAATATGGGGATCTTTGAAATTTGCATCAAAAATATGCGTTATTCTTGCATTTACGAGCCGATTTTGCATAAATTTTGCCAAAAAATGCCATTCTCTTGCTGGAGCCTTTGGAAAACGATTGCTCATGCAACGTGAAAACGATCAGCAAGACCGCTGAGTACAAGACACATCGGTTGAAACTATCGTTCAGCGCCTGAACTTCGCTTAGACTTTGGACTGACTGAAACCCAAGCCCAAATCTAAACTTAAGCACCACTTAGAAGTTCATCGAACTCTGTTTCGGGACTAGCGCGAAGCAGATTGCTAAAATGCACAATAAGGCGTGGTTTGGATCGATAAAACAGTTGTTTTCACACTATTTTTACTCTTCATACGCAATCGTTCGCGCCATGCTCCAGCAAAAGAATGGCATTTTTTGGCAAAATTTATGCAAAATCGGCTCGTAAATGCAAGAATAACGCATATTTTTGATGCAAATTTCAAAGATCCCCATATTAAATTAAAAATCAACAGGTATTTTCGCTATAACTTTAAAACCCGTCGGCCGATATGGCTCAAACTTTCCATATACATGGGAAATTGGCTTCGCTACCTCTGTGCAAATTTTCAGCTCCGTAGGTACCCTCTGGCTCAAATTCTTGGGGGGGGGTCTTTTTTTTTGGGACACCCTGTACTTGCTAGTGGTTTAGTGGTAATATCCCGGATTTAGGAGAATCCCGCCCCCCCCCCCGATAATGCCAAAGCTCCAATTTCCCGTTCCTGATCTTATTTTATATGTGTTATATTTGCAATGTAATGCTCAATGGCCATCACAACCGTGCTCCTTGTTATGGCCGGGAGGCGGGCCTCTTGATTTTGGGAT